GCGTCGAAGCAACAGGCGTGCCGGCGAGTCGGTTGTAGTGGCTGGCTGGGATTGACAGGGCACGCTCGATGTTAGTTGCCTCGGCAACGAATTCATCGACAGTAGTCGGTGGGTTGCGAGCAAGGCCGCCGAAGATGTCACTCCTCACTCCTTCATCAGGACGCGCAGCTTCTTCTCCTCGGTGGACTGAGGGTCGGCGCGGCTGCTCAGCCGGAGGACGTCTTCAACGAAGCTGGTGACCGTTTCGTTGGGCCCTTGAGTTCGTACTTGCAGGAGGTCTTCCGCTCGCTGTCGTCGTGTCTGGTTCGTAAATGACTCTTTCAGGCCGGCGATACAGGTATTCCACGACGTAAGCGACGCCTCGTGGTTCTCGAACCACTGCCTCGCGGTACCCTCCAAAGAGAAGTAGAGGTTTTGGAGGCGCTGCTCAGTGGTCCATCCATTATTGCGTGCTACACGTTCGTGGTGCAGAAGCCATGGTTCTCCACGCCCTCGTGGGTCTCACCATGGAAAGTCGTCGGGGTTCGCTGGGCAACAGGCAGGTAGATGACGGCGGCGGCGGTCGGGGTCTGCGATTGCTGGTCGTCCATCGTCGGCCTCGTTCGCTGCTTGGTCCTGGGTGGCAGAAGTCTGTATTATTGGTGTACACCTTGGGTGCAGCGACTTGATCGGGTCTTGATCTGGTCTTCGTTGGGTCCTAGGGTTCGGACTTTACTGCGGGAACTCGGAGAGCTGCGCTGCACGGGCATGCGCTACCCCGCACCTCCACCAAAATGTCACGAATGATTTGTGATGAGGCGATAATAACTGAAGAAACTAAACGTTTAATGGGGCGAACTTGTGCCCAAAAATAAAAGGAAGAAGAAAGATAACAAGAAAGATAACAACGGAGCGTCGCGGGCGTTGAGGGCGGCGATGTAGCGAACGCTGAGGCGAAACTGACTTTGGCTCACCACGCGAAACCCCTTATGTACCTGGAATAATCGGCGTAGAAAGTTCGACGCGTAGAACATTCGGACCTCGAACAAGCAACAGGATTCGTGAATTTTCCAGAACACTAAATTGTAGGAATAAAGAAAATACACGTCACTCCCAGGAATCGAACCCTGCCTTTTCACGTGGGAGACAGGGGCGATAACCGCTATGCCACGCGCGCGCTGCCTACTTGGCCAGCTGCGCGCGCAGCAATATGTGTCTCGCGACGTATACAAAGATTCTCATTTTGTTTGGGAGCAGTTTGTTTTATGACATAGGTTTTTATGAGCGATTCCGAAACATGCTACTATTGCGGGTCGACGTGCCAAAATAATTTTACAATTACTAAGCGGTTAGTTCATTACGAAATGGAATGCTCATGGGTTACATTAATATATACGCCAAGTTTTATGATTCTTAGAGCTCTAGCAATTGCAATAATCAGTATACTAATGTTGGCAATTTTTATCTGGGGACCAGGCAACACTGCCTGAGGTAGCCACGCCATGGTGCCTATAAACCATGTGATTATGATTTGTAGTTGAACGCTGTCTCAATCTAGGCTTACCTAGATTGAGACAGCGTTCCCCATGCTCGTCCCTAGCCCACGAGCTCGCCACGACGATCACACCCTCTCCCACTCGACGACTCCAATGCTACTTTCGCTCTCGCCCTTTTGACCTCGCACGGTGCGAACGTGTGCCCGACTCCTCCATTCTTCGTCCTTGGCTCGACAGTTACCTTCCCGGTCAGATTAGTTAATAGTAGAAGGAACGCTTGCGTAGCTCCCAACGCAAAAGCAGTTCCAAACGTCGCGCGAAGTTTGTTGTGCGGTGGGATGTAGGAAATTACAGGAGAAACAGCCACCATTTTAATGCGAAAGCATTAAAATGGTGACTGTTTCATCGAAACGATCTACCATAACTCTATTTTCGAGCGCGATGGCTGGGTCAAGCCAGACGCAATGGTTTGTATGAGGACCATTTCACGTTTGAGTGCTCTTATGTGCGAGATCGTTGCGGGCGGCGGCGAGTTCGTCTGTGACTATTTCGTTGTCGTCGCTGGTATTGGTATCAACTGGGTCGAAGACAAAATGTCGAAATTCCGACATCTCTTGATTACAATCACTCTCATCGCTGCTGCGATCAGTGTTTAAGACTTCGACGAAACGAGCCATAGACCTCATCGTCTCGAAACTGCGCTCGACACGCGGAAGGTAAACAAAGAGGCTAAAGCGCAAGACGCCGAGAAAGCCAAGCCTGCATTTGCGTGCAAGGGAACCTCGCGCCGCCACGGTATCGGACTACGCCACCGATCAACCAAACATGGCGTCCTTCCGAAGCGGGGTGTATCCGAGGATCCCATGTATGGATAAATTTATCCATCAAACCAACGCGCCATTTGAAAAAAAAAAAAATTAACTAAACTATAGAAACATCCTATTTATATTGCGTAGATATTATATATTTTTTTATGGTCGGTCCTAACACTTTTAATGCCTCCTACTAAAATTGATTTTTAAGCTGTATAGGTTTAAGTGCAAAATAAACACATGTTAAATATTGAAATAAGGGTAATGGTACAGGCTACCTGGAGAACGATTATACTTATACTTTTAAACCCCGAAACAAGGGAACAAACAAAAAAAAAAGTAACAACAAAGACGTCGTTGTGTAATGCCCTTTTTTATTTCTCTTCGCTTGTTCTCTTTTATTACCCCTGTTGCTACACACAGGTGCAATAAAAGGGAACAAACAAGGAAACAAACAAAAAAAAAGTAACAACAAAGACGTCGTTGTATAATGCCCTTTTTTATTTCTCTTCGCTTGTTCTCTTTTATTACCCCTGTTGCTACACACAGGTGCAATAAAAGTAATCATGCCCCTGTTCATAAGAAGAATCTTTCCTGGAGCCACAGCAATCTACTCTCTTTTGAGCCATCTAGAGTCTGGCCTGCATGTAAAAATAGATCTCACTGCATGCATGAATGCATTTATAGCGCTGAAGAAATATCCTTTAATATACTACATGCGATATACAGAAGGTGATTGATTTTAATCCGAAGAAATATCTTTAAAAAATGTGGGGAGAGTTAGACGAGTGCTTCAAAGGAATTGCAATAAGGTACTGGTTCTTTAAGAAATTATTCGATCAATTGTTTTTTTTTTCTGCTTGATTTGGAGATAGCTTTCGGAAAGACTGCTGCAAGCCATAATGACGCTTGGAAAACTGACGTGGTCTTTTCAATCATGTCACCATGTCACTATGTCGGCTGCGTGTCCTTGGTAGGTCCACCGACGATGCAAGTAATGATTGTCCTTGACTGAAACAACTACATCACTTTGTGAGCGTCGTTGCGGGTAAAGCTTATGGCGCTCTTTTTGCGCGCTTTGTTGAAATCGGGGGGGGGGGGGGGGGGGGGGCGCGAAAAATTGTTGATGAATGTCTCAAAACCAATATTACATTTTGCAACATTTCTTTTAAACCTCTGGCCTTCCAATAGAAATTCCTATAAATACTACAATATGAAACACGACAACATTAGCCCTACTACTAAAACATAAAGTTAGTTAACTTATTTTAAAGAATTATTCAATTTACTATGACGCCCGTGTATACAAGCTGCTTCACGAAACATAGACCAAATCGCCCCCGCAAAAATTACGGATCGCACAAAACAAAGGTTGATGTCATAATGGTCTCTGAGAAATGCCCTTTTTAGAAAAAATTATAAACGTCTGGTATAATTCAGTTCTTAATTACGTTGGAATTATAAACTTTCTAATTATCAGGATAAGAGGTAATCAGAACTTTCCTATAGATAATCTAAACCTCTATACCAGAACACTTCACAAAAATATAAGGTCACAGCATTTTGTGGCGTTCCAAGAGGGACACTTAATTCGGAAATGTCTTAAAGTTTCGATTCTTTATCAAGAGGCGTCTCCGCGTCTTCAATCTTGCTAACCCCCCCTCCCCCCCTTGTGACCCAAGTAGTCCCAAGCACGCTACTAATGTGCGCAGATACCAAGTGCACGTCTACTTTGTAAGTGTAAGGACAGAAAATTGTCCTCGTGTATGTCATGGCTGGTATGCATACTCGCTTACTCCTTTACATGTGCAGCAGGAAGTAAGGAACTTCTTGCCGGTTCAATTTTCAGCGTTATTGCACATGGCATACGTTTTTGACTATTTTCGAAAGAAAGAGTATACGTGCTGCTTTCACAAGCTTTACTATGGGTTGTTGGTTTTGTTTTACTGTAGTTGAAGTACACCGGAAGACTTTACTTTTCAATATTTTAAATGCGATAGAAGAGTGCTTTTAGTATACATAAATTTACAAAATTCGTATTTTAGTTTGCGTATAGTCTACAATCGGTATACTTATAGTATACTTATTTGTTCTATAAAAGCGCGACTAAGTATGTTTTTGCTACGTGCGTGTAGATAATAAACACACTTTTATTTTAGTATATCGCTGTTTACCGAGTGCCGCAACGAATTCTTCACGTGAAGGAGGTGAATTCAAGAGTCAAAGCACATTAAAACAACGCAGTGTTTCATTTTTTTTTGTCCTAAGGCACATTATTTTTTGCCGACAGAAGGTGACACGGTGGTTGAGCTTATTGGCCACGGGGATTAGAACCGGTGGCAGGGATAGAAAACCAGAACTTAAAAAAATTTCCGAATTGACCGTTTTCTAGGAATGCCGTAAACTGCCGCGCCGGCCTTATATTTTTTTGTAAAGTGCGCGTATTTAATGCTTTTCGGCGATGACCGGGAAATTGTTCATAAAAACCATAAACCATACATTTTAGATAACGAAAAAGTAATGAATAACCTTAGCATACCGAAGGTTTCAATGTTTTCCCTTCGTGGTCTGTACCCGTGTAAAAAAAGGTAATATTTCAGTTTTTGTTGCAATATCATTTTAGTATCTTCTTCTTGTACATAGCACGGAAAAGGAAGACGATATAGTACACCGAATTAAGACACAATTATTTTTATGATCTATATTTCTACAGAGAATCGTCGGCCCAGAACATTTGCAGATGCCGCAGGACTGCCTCCATGGATCAAGAACGCGACAGATTTCATGAACCGTCTACTAGGCTTATGTCACAACCAAAATAAATGGGAGAGAATAAGCAATGTGAGTAGTACCGGATAGCACTTCAAATACAAATCAAGTTCGTACTAAAAAAAGCATTAAAAAATGCGAATAAAAAATTGTTCCTAATCATTTCAATTCACCCTCACTTTCAGGACACCATCAATTGGGAAAAATGCAAATTTGATTGCAGACACGATAAAAAGGGTCCTTTACATGAAGAAAACTTACCCGACGGTACACCCTGCGGACATAGAAAAGTGAGCGAGTCCATTTAAAGAACCATGACATAAAATTGTGTTTTATGTGACTGGGCAAGGCTGCCCTTTAAAGTGAAAAACATTTTGCTTCATAAACAGAAAACTTACGAAAAGCGATGAAGCGCAACAATCTCCTTTTGTATGACGCACTTTCGCGATTTTAGTATCTACATTTTCCTTGCCACGTTCCTCTACATATTCTATCTTTTTTTTTTAATTAAAAAGTCTAGAACTGTACGTGCACCCTGTCGTAGCTATAGCTGGCTCTTCTAAGACAAGCGCTTTACTTATCTCGAACAGTCATCACAAAGCAGTTTTAGTACAATTGAGTTTTACGGGTCGGCAAAAGTGTTCGTAATAGCAATACACCTTCAGATAAGAAAAAGTGCTCATACTCAGTACAGCTGTAACTAATGTAATTCCTTAAATTTATACTTTTTATTTTTTTACTGCCCATGCGTCACTCTGTCTAAAGGCCTCAATGAAGGAGTTTTATTTTTCGCTTTGTAAGCCCTTAAAAAAAAAAATTAATATTGGTCAACAGCTAAAACAGACCCTTGTGGTGCCATTTATTCACGTAGAGTTTGTATTATGTATTGCTTTTACTAAGCAAATAACAACGCGAGCCTTCCAAGGCCTAGACAACTTTGCAGCAAAACGTTAGAAGCCCCAGGCGAGAACGTAATTAGTAAATTATTGACTACTCACAGTACTCAGTCCGTCGGCACTGTCTGCATCCAATAAACTACAACACGCGATACGCCCCCCCCCCCCCCCCCCCCTTCCGAAGGTTTACAACGCGCAATACGCCCCCAGAGCTACTCAGTCACATCTGTTTGCACGTTCCTCGTCAGTCTTGTAGACTTTATACTCTGTTTTACCCTACCGACTTTTACCACGCTGCACCCATGACACGCCTACAATTGACTTATAACCATTTAGAACAGATTTGTGCGAATGCTGTCCTTAATATTTTTTATGAAAAGCGTAAATTTCGAAAGTGTGTTGAGGCTATTATTTTTTACCTAACGTTTCGCTTTTATCCTGTTTAACCTTTTTTCTACTCACTAACTCATTGATAAGCGCACCACTAAGGAGGCGTTAAGCTCTTGGTTGGTCACTGAAAATAAGAATAAATATTGGCGCGACAGCGTTAAGGAGCTCGTGTCGCAGAAAATCGGTGGTTTGACAGGAAAGCCGGCGTCGGTGACGTACAGCAAAAATCCTGATTGGTCGATAGAGTCATGACGTCGCAGCCACATGACCTCGCGCGGAAATTTCGAACAACCCACAATGCTCACGTGAAACGTTACGTCACGCGTGGAATAAAAGTGATTAAAAAATGCGACGTATAATATAAACTTAAAGTCGCCGAATGTCTGAAGTGTTTTCACTCTATAAAGTAATTCATTTGCCTTAAGAAATATTTGAAAATTTTAGGCGGGATTCAGACCCACGACGCTTCGACTGTGCGCCGGACACGCTACTGATTAGGCTACGCAAGACACGTTTGCGTGGTGGTTGGGAAGGTGAGGCGAACGGGGTCCGATAGCGTTCATGCGTTCCACTCTTAAAGGCGAAGCTGAAGCGTCCTCCCCAATTTCTTATTTATACCACTAGTTAACGACAGCATGAAACTTGTAAGTGTTTGTCCGTGCTCCCTTTCTCGTGTCAGTTTCTGTTTACACTAACAAGTTTCCTCGGCATCCTGCACCAACTATAGTCCAACAGCAAGTCTCGTTAACCTGCGAGCTGTGTTCTTTCTCCTACAATAACACGACAGACTCTTAGAAATCAATCATGGTTACACAGAACCTCAAGGCTTCCAACTATTATAATATACTCAGTGTTCTTTTTTTCCTGTCTCTGTTGTCTGGCAGCTTTTCCATTACGCCTTCAAAGAGCCTTGCTTGTACGTCGCGCGACATTGTTAGTACAAAACAAGTGATCGCCAGGTTTGAGCTTTTCCATTATGGCAGAGAGCTCTCATTAAGGGCACAAACATACGCGGTAAAGTTTGGTGCCCGTCCGCACGGTTTTGAAGTCAAATGAAAAAAAAAGGCGTGGTTGTCTTAACAATAACCATGTTGCGCATGCAGGGTACGCATATGCTTTCTTTATCAATTTTTTTTTTTAGAGTTGGTGCCGTATAATTTAAGAGTGTGTTTTGTGGTGCCTTATGAGGTTGCGTAATTAATTCGAGCATAAATACCTCAGGATAAACACAAGACCTCTTATATGCACCCAAATAAAACACCAAGAGTCGCATAAAAACACATTACGCTGAATGACATGTCCATGCTTTTATCTTCTCTCTGTTACAGGTATGCGTTAATCAAACGTGTTTGGCAGAACCTACAACACTGCCATCTTGCCGCTAACCACATGTTACTATAAATGCTACTTCTGCGGCAGAGCCACATTTTGAATAAATGTATTATTTTGGTTTTTCTGCTTAACATTGTTAACTTTTTTTTTTCAAATAAACACTTCTAAAATACTACGTCGTACTTACGTATATCGTACCTAAAATTGTTTATTTTCCTCGTTTCAACACGAAATCAGTTACCTACGGAGCTAACAAAACAATGTAAAAATAGCATTGTTGTAGACCTTACTAATATGCATTTCAAATAAATTCATCAAGTGAGCTTTTTTCTTGACCTTCCGATTAGTAATCAGCGAGCTTATCCGTTTCAAGAATCCGTTTCGTCTTTGGATGACGCCACCGACTGACATGCTCCGATGTCCTAGGCAAAGAGAATCCCTCGGTGAAAGCACTAGCCAAAGTGTAGGCAAGACAACAGAAGAAAACGTTTGGACGAAACACAGCAAACAGAGGTATACACCTGGCTTATCATAAAATGACCAGACGGCCACGTTCAAAAATAAAAATCAAATGTTCCCCACAACGTTCTTAAATTTAGGATAGTTGTGAAGCTTGTGGGAAAGATCCCTTACTGCGTGCTCAGCCCGGGAAAACAGCAGGGAGCCCTTAATTTCAATAAGTAACTGCGCTCTATAAGGTTAATTCGTTAGACATGCGGTACATTTATTGACGTTGAATTTGTCATGCGGCCGTCCGTAGCGGACCCACCAAGGTATATGTGTACGTGGTAGCGAAGCTTTTATAGAAGCCCACATGTCGAAAAAATGGCGGCTCATCGGGCACAGCGTAATTATATGTCGAAGGGAAACTTCCGGTGGAACACAAAACAAAATAACAAAATCTTTTTAAAACAAACAAAAAAAAAACCGAAACGTCTTTTTTTTCTTTTTCTGAAGTTATTTATTACTTTTAGGCCGATTTGTGACTCGCTACAAAATCGCTTCCTTTAGTCACAAGGCCGTGTTTTCACAGGTCGGTTAAACGCCAGCTGCGGTCTTTAAATCTTTGTTCTTTCAGGTTCCTTCGAAGATATGAGTGACTTGAAATTGAATGATGTAACCTCACGACAAATTAATTAATCACATTGCTAGAGTATTAGTGTTTGAATAACCCAACAGTAACTCTAACTCAAGTACCCTATTTCTCTAGAAGTCGGGTTTATTCGCTCACAACTATTCAACCAAGATATTCATCAGAACCAAAGATTCAATATCAAGTGTTATGATGGAAGAAAATGTTACAGAAGACGCACCATAACATGGTAACGCATGCACAGAGGCTGCCTGTTGTGTGGGCATTGGCAGTTTAAATGGCCCTCAATTGCGTGGAAGTTTCGCAGCGTGTCAAGAATAGCTGAGTTCAACACTTTAAGACGCGGAAAAGCATTGCACCCGTTGTTGCGGTTATTGCGCCAAACACAAAGCTATTGAATTTGTAATTAAAGTGCTACAAATTACCAAATCGATTGTTGGTCGCATTCATACACCACAAAACATGTAGTCATATTTCATATCAATTGAGTGCTTCTCCGTGCAATACAATACCATAAATTACGAATCACTAAGCAACGGCGAAGTAAAATAATTGCGCGGCGATCACACGATGTGATGCATCCGCGACAGCTGTGATGCTTATTCGACGATATGACGATAACGGTCGATTGACAATTTTTCCGCTAAATTAAGCGGGGAACCTCAATTTGTCTGTAGGTCTTCAGGTCACATGAAATTAATTTTCCCGCCAAATTGAGCGGTGAAACTGAATTGGTACATGTTGTGGCTTACGACCACGGTGCTTACGACAAGAGACAGGACGAGGTGCAGCCGATGTAGCTTCCAGAGCCAAACGGTTTTTAATGTCCCGTGCCCTCGTTTTTGTCTCTTACATCCCAGGCGCGCGCTCACTTCTTTGCCCGCCGCCTCGCGCTATTTATTGAAACAATACCCAAACACAAAACTCCTTCCCCATCAATGTTTTGGCTGACTCACACAAGAATACCTCTCCGGTGGCCTACGTTGTCGTATGCTACTTCGAAGCACTGGTGTGGTCGGTACCGCTGTCTAGGAAAGAGGCTCCATATCGAAGGCAGCAGGCTCTGTCATGTTGTCTCGAGAACCACCGGACGCCCTTCGTGGTGTTGCAGCCGGAGTGTCGACATTTCTTCTCTGTGCAGACGAATCTTCGAAGTGTCTCGGACGGACATCATCCACGTGCACATACCGATGCTGATCTTGCACTATCACGACGTAGGTTGATGCACTAACTTTCTTCACAACAAGTCCCACCAACCATGCAGGATCTGTCGGACGTGATCCCCGGACGAGGACTTGGTCGCCTGCTTCAAAAGTTCGCCAAGAGCCTCTTCTCATGTCGGCGGCTGTCTTGATTTGTTGCTGGCGATCTCTCATGCGTCTCTCCATTTCAGGATGAAGGAAGCTCAGACGGGTCCTAGGCTTCCAAGAGAGAAACAGCTCGGCTGGAGTTCTGTCGGTCGTACCGCTTGGGGTATTTCTGTATGCAAACAGGAACTGGTCGACTCGATGTTGCATCGATTTCGGTACACTCGTCCGTTGCTCGTCAATTACCTGCCTCAGGAGGTCCCTCTTGACGGTTTGCACACACCGTTCCGCGCTTCCATTTGAGGCGGGATGGTACGGAGGACTTTTCGTGTGGCGTACCCCATTCATCGACAGAAACTCTACGAACTCTGTCGCCACAAACTGGGGTCCATTGTCTGTCACTACCTCTTCTGGTAGTCCAAACGCGGCGAAAACACTTCGCAATCTTTCGATAGTACATTTTGTCGTAGTGGAACTCATTAGAAACACCTCTACCCACTTTGAATGAGCATCTACGACAATCAAAAACCAGTTCTGATCCCGGTATGCAAAATCAAGATGAACCCTTTGCCATCTGCACGTTGGCCAACCCCACGTTAATAATGGAACACGTGGTCGCGCGTTCTGCGTTAGTTGACAAGTACTACAGTTTTTGACAGTGTTTTCGACATCATATGTTATCAAAGGCCACCCACACGTGACTACGTGATAGCATTTTCATTCTGGTGGTGCCTGGATGTCCCTCGTGCAACAGGGACAACACTTTTTCCCTAAACACTTCGGGAATGATCACTCGATTTTTCCATGTTACACACCCTTGGTCAGCCGACAATTCGTGACGGCGCACAAAGTACGGTTGCAATGCCTCATTGTCCACATGTGAAGGCCATCCGTTCTGTGTGAAAAACAACACCCTTTTCATCACACTATCCTTTTCAGTTTCTCTCCTAATTTCACCAGCTGACAATGGCACTTCATCCACCGCCGAAAAGAAACTGACGTAGTCTCAGCTATCGTTCACGTTGGGCAAAGGCAGACGTGACAGCGCATCAGCATTCTGAATCTGGCTACCCTTCCGATAAACCCACTTGTAATTGTAGGCAGCAAGTAAGAGAGCTTACCTCTGCATCCTGGCTGCTGACATCGCCGGAATTTGTTTTCCATGACCTAACAGCCCTACCAACGGCTGGTGATCCGAATAGATGCTGAAATTTCTGCCATACAGATACTTATGAAACTTTCTCAGCCCAAAAACAACTGCTAGGGCCTCTTCTTCAATTTGGGCGTAACCCTTTTCAGCCTTGCTCAGGGTTCGTGATGCATAAGCAATCGGTTTCTCATCATTCCCAACTCTGTGAAAAAGCACCGCTTCCACTCCGTTCGCTGAAGCGTCACATACGAGCCCCAATTCCTTTTTTGGGTCATAGAACGTTAAGACGTTTTCATGTGTAAGCCACGCCTTACTTCTGTTGAATGCGTTGTCTTCTGCCCTTGACCAACGCCATTTTGTGCCCTTCTGTAATAAGTAATACAACGGCATCAGATCGGTTGACATGTTCAGCACAAACTTGCCATAAAAGTTAATCATGCCCAAGTAGGCGCGCAGTTCTGATTCATTTTTGGGGCATGGGGCCTCCCGTATGGCCTTTACTTTCTCTTCCGATGGTCGAACTGCATGTTGATCTATCATATGTCCCAAGTAATGAACAGACGTCTGAAAAAATCGACATTTTTCTTTCTTTAGTCTGATGCCTTGTTGGCTGAACCGTGCCAGCACGCTTTCCACCTTTTTATAGCAGTCCTCATAAGTTTCTCCCGCTATTAGTACATCGTCTAGATAGCACGCGACATTTCTCAGCCCTTCCAGTACTTTGTCTATGACGGACTGAAAAATCGCAGGAGCACTAGTGATGCCGTAAGGCAATCTCGTGGACTTAAACAAGCCAAGGTGTGTGTTCACAGTGACCAAATCTTGTGACTCCGGATGCGATTGTGGGCATGGCAAAGTCCCTCATAAAGGTGTTCAGGGGCCGACCCAGTCCTAAAATTAGACGAAAACCGACAACAAGACCGGTGGTGGTGCCTTATCTCCACGCCCTCTCTCATCAAGTCAAAAGAGTGGCGCATAAGTTTAACGTGCCAGTGGTGTTTTCAGCACCCCAGAAGCTGTCACGCCTGTGCACTGCTGTCAACCGAGGGAGGAACAGTGATTTGCAATGTGATGTCAACCACCGCGCTCCTTTCGTACCATGCGCAGTGGAGGTTGTGTATCAGATCCCCTTCACATGTGGTAGGGTGTACATTGGACAAACGGGGAGGTGCGTGAACGAGGGGGCGAGGGAGCATTCCATTTCTCTCCGTTCCTCCCCCGCTGGCCACTTAGCGGTACATTGCAGTAGGTCGGCTGCGTACCTGTTTTTCATGACTTGACGATCTTAGCGCGCAATAATAGTAAGACCGCCAGGGAGATTGAAGAGGCATTTTTCATTTTATCTAAAGGGGAAGGGCAATGTGTGAGCGCACCGTCGGTGCGCTTGGGGGATGATAAGGTCCTTTTTATCGGGGAGAATGGCAGGCATGTGTGAGGGTGATGACGTGGTAGAAATCCTGTCGGTTGGGTTGTATAATTTTTTGTGTCTTTATTGGTTCTTTC